CTAGAACCCCTAAACCCAAAAACCCCTAAATCCTAAACCCCCAAACCGCTTTGGAGGCCGGTACCCCCAACACACCATCTTCAATGCCAAGCGATTCATCGGTCGCCAGCTGGGCGAGGTCCGGCCCTTCGGAAACTTGCCAGCGGCCCTAAATCCAAATGAGCTATAGTCTAAATTCCTTAAAAGGGGGTTATATAGGGGATTATATAGGGGACTACTATATGGGTTATTAAGGGGGATACTAGGAGTTTAGACTATAGCTCAAATAGTAGTCGTGATAATTACCAATAAGTCACAGTAATGACAAAAATTACATTAGTAAATCGTACCCCTCGAACCCCAAACCTTAAGCCCCAAACCCGAAAAAATAACCCTCAAATCGAACAGCGCGCCCTGCTCCCATACATAGTTTCCCTAGAGATCCAAATAGCCAATGTAGGTAATATTTACAGACTTTAAGGCCGAATGTAGGCATTATTTGTATACTTGGATCCCTATATGATCCCCTATATAATCCCAGTTTCCATTTCATTTTCCATTTTCTTTTCCATCTGATTCTCCATTATAGTAGGTACCCCTAGGTTTCCGCAGAAGCTGCGGCCCACGCCTATAGAGCAGCTCGGCGGCAAAGTCGTGTTAGGGCTTAAAGCTTGCAACATGGGGTTTAGGGGTTTGAGGCTTAATAGTAAGGACTAGTACTAACTATAGTAGGAATAACAGTAGTAATAGTAATAATAGTAACAACAGGAGTAGTAATAATGATAGTAGGGGTTAGAGCTTGGGCGTTTTGGATATTTGCGCTAAGAGGGCTTCGGGATGGGTAGGTTTTGTTGGGATTGAGGTTTTTAACGAAAATTGAAGTCCCTGTTTTTCTCCATGCCAGGGGGCAATTCATGTTGGAGGTACCCTATCTTGGCATTTCATTATGGTATTAGCCCAAATGCTAACCTCTTCTGTTTTTGTTTTAAGGACCCACCCCCATAAAGCCCATATCTCTTGCCTAATCCCCCTATGTATTCCCAAAGTCCCGCAGGGCCATCATTTTTCAGAAGTCCTCTAAACCTTAGATCCTAAACTCAGCCTCATTGCTAATGCCCCTTATGGTTGAGAGTCTTCTCTTGCGCGGTGGTCAGCCAAAAAATGCCCCTGAAGATTTATCCCTATATTATAGAACCAAATAGCTTATATAACCCCAGTGTCCTCCAGGATTTTTGGGTATGGCATTGAGGGCTTGGAGTTGGGGGTTTTGGTGTAGGATGTCCAATTTTGGGTGTGGCGTAGCGTTTAGGCTTTATTGTCTAGGAAGACGGGCAGTGGCCTTTCTACTGTAACGCCATGAAAAGGTTTGTCATTTTAAGGCGTTCTTGGAAAAAGTCTTGGGCCCGTGAATTTGTCATAGTGCGGACTTCCGCAACACTGCCCTTCGACACAGAGTCCTCAACCCTATGCCGCTTGCTCTACGCCCTGAATCCTGAATCCTCTCTGTGCCACACCTGAGGTGGGCCTGAACCCTGAGGCTCCTAAACCCTAAACCCCTAACGCCCCTAGACCCAAAACTTCTAGGGCAGCTAGGGCCCCTAAACCCTCAGACCCTTACATTAAACCTGAAACCAAAAAACCTAAGGCTCGTAAACCCTAAGCAAACCCTTAACCCCTAAGGCCCTTAAACCCTAAAACTTATATAACCCCTTATAGTAGTTTCCATTTTGGTTTCCATTAACCCCAATATAACCCTAATATTCTCCCTAAAACCCTAAACCCCTCGGGCCCCGAAACCCTAAACCCCAACCTTCTCCAGGTTGTGGGAAACTTTAGCCGCCACTCAGAGGAGCCAAGCGCTGGCAATCTGAGTAGCGCAGTCAGCCCCCCAGCGGTGCGGTTGGGTAGATGACCATTAGGGTTTGCAGTTTAGGGTATATAGGATTTAGGGTTTGCGCCTTTCCTTTTTAAAGGATTTAAGGTTATCAGCGTTCAGGAACTGGGATCTGGGGTTTATGTAGGTTCGGCATGAAGGGGTTCAGGATTTGCGGGGTTTATGCTTCGGAGTGGGGTCTAGAGTGAGGTAGGGTTTATGGAAGGGTGTTGTGGGCTTAAGGATTGTTGGCATTATCTTGGCTGCCCAGGAGTTCACCGGCAAACTACAATGTTTTGTTTTTGCAGCTTTGTCAAAGCAGTCGTCCTATTGAGGGACCTCCAAACAGGCCAATGATTGGATGCCTCATATGGTAGTATCCCTAAACAAGGGGACCCCAATATAGACCCCCAAATACTATAGTCCTTATTATGGGGAGCCCCCAAAAAGGTACCCCTAATTTTGGGAAACCCTAAACCCTATATGATCCC